TTAAAACGGGTTAATTAACATTGCAGCCATTTGTTCGTCGATCGAACATCGATCCATCTTTTTTCCTTCCTTCTTTATTAACGTTCAATCGTTTCTTCTTCGTTTTCTTTTCTTTCACGCGTTCTAAATGTATCGTCATCTACATCGCGTCGTGAATTGTGAAAAAAGTTAGGCCATATTATTATCCATTTCGTGTCACACTTTTCTTTCTTCCCCCCTCTTTTACTATTACATCTTTTCTCTCTCTTCCCTCTCTGTTCATCTCCGATAACGCTCGAAAATTCAACAGAGCGATTTTAAGTTACACCGATTCGCTAAGAACGGCTGGCACGAAATTACGATAAACTATGAAAAATGGGGCGTTTTAGACGTGGAAACGGTGGAAATGTACAGTTCGCGCGTGTGTTTGCAATTAGAAAACAATATGCCGCGGAACGATGTTCAGTCTTTGAAGAAATGTAACTGCAGCGATTAAATTGTTAATTTTTTTTTTCTTCTTTTTCTTTTTTTTTTTTACGTGTGTTCTGTGTGCATGTGTGTTTATGTTTGTTTCAAACTGGATACGAGTTTAAGCTTAGTCCAGAGCGAACTCGGCTCGTGTAGCATTACAAATGCTGTACAATTATTTAAATCGTTAATTAATTCGCTTACCATAAGAAAACGGACTCACGATTATAAAACGCTACTTGACGCAGATGAACTTCTCATGATTTTCTCGTTTTAAACGATTCGCAACTCTACATGATTTCGCTACATGTCCTCTTATTTATTTCTCTTTCTGTCTGCGTGTATGTGTGTGTACATGTATGCGTATTTATCTTCTCTTCATCTTCTTCTTCTTCGTCGTCGTTTACCTCTGTTTGCATTATTATTTTGTTCTCTACAATCTCGCATATATTGACTTTTATCGATTGATTGGAAAATTATTTTACGCGTTTGGAAGGAGCTCGCGACAACGATGATAGAGAATTTCCGAATTTCCTTCATCTCTCTCTCTCTCTCTCTCTGAAGAATAAAATCGCGAAAGAGAGAAAGTTAGGTTTTCGTCGTTTCATTTTAAAAACGATCTTAGTTTTTTCTCTCTCTTAATTTTGGAATTAATTGAAGACGTCGTCGCGATTTCCTTCGGCCACGCGACGCAGTTAAATACTGAACAGGTTACGATTCTAACGACTAAGCGTCCGAGTAAGTGTTATTCCGCGACATTTATGCGCTTTTTTTCTTCCCTCTCATATCCGCCCGTGATTACGCTCGGAGAACGTCGATAACGTTCGATTAATCTACGCAACGTAAGTACTTCTTTCCTCTACGGGCAGCTCTCCGTATCTAAACGAACCGCGTTTTTTTTCTTTTCTTTTTTAATCTTCTCGCATATTTTCTTCTTTTTCGCTTGCTACATTTTCGTTTCACCTTGTCTCGTCCGTTTTGCTGTCCTGGTTGAAACACGGTGCGTACAGGATTGTTCGAAATTGCCGCGCGATTTCGCTCACGAACGCGCGATGAACAACGCGAGACACCGTGTTTCTTTCTTTTTCTTTTTGGTTCGATACGGAAATCATCGGACGAACCCGCTCTCGAATTGTACAAATCTTTGTTTCTTTTCTTATATTCTTCCTCGTCGTCTTCGTGTGTTCGTTTCTTCGCTTCTTTTTTTGTCCTTTTTTTATCTTTTTTCTTTTTCTTATCTCGTTTTGTTGTCGTTCGCCGATCAGCGAATCTCGTTCGATTCGTTACAATAATTCATTAATAAGTACACGAGTGTCGAAATGCAACCACAAACGCGTGTGATGTCTCGAGAACACTAATCAATTATACCTCGTAATCATAGTAATGATAATTAATAATAACCATATGAATCAATAATGAGAATAATAAAGTGTAGTTGTAATTAATAATTATATAGGCAAACCTTTGTTGTAGCGTTGTACTTAGCGTTATTTAAAATAGTAGCGTTACTCTTATGTATATACCGAAGTTCGAGTACGGACAGAAAATTGATTTTTTTTTCTTCTTGTTTAACTTCCTTTATATATATATATATATTTCTCTCTCTACTCTTCATCACGCTCCATTTTTTTTTAAATTCTTTCCCCTTCTTGCTTTCGCTCATCGCGACACATTCTCACCGATTACGCCGCTTCGTGCTCGTCGTAGATGTCCATTCTCGCTCCTTTCCACGAATTTCTATCTTTTATGTACGAGCAAACACGAATTCCTCGAACCGCTTTCAAAAGTTCGAGACAACGCGTTCAAATTTCCCGCCTTTTCTCGAGCCCCGCGGCGACCGCGAATTCGAACGAAAGCAGAAAACACGGAGAGAATGTGGCGCGTGCCGTACTCGTTTCTTTTTCTCTTTTTTTGTCTTTCTTTCTTTGTTTGCTTCTTTTGTTTACTTTTCATCCTGCCATTTGCCCCCCTCCTAATTCCATCGTAGCGAAAATAAGGTGTCGATAGTACGCGACTGTACCATTAAGTACAATGTGTGAACAAGTTGCACGCGCGACGAGAGTCGTGGTCGTCGGCGCGTGCGCGAGAAATTAACATTATCCAAAGCACCAGGCACGATCCTCTCCCGCACACACATACAGACGCACACGCACGACACGTGCAAGTGACTCATCTTTTTCACTCTCTTTCACTCCCTCCCATTCGTCCTTAGTTCGATCCTCTCTACACCACCGCTTGTTATTCCCTCGTTTTTCTTTCGCCTCTGTTTGCTCCGGCTGGCCCAAGCTTCCCTCCCTCACTCTCTCTCTCTCTCTCATGCACATCTTCCTCTCTCGAAACACGCGAACGAAACGATACGAACAATCATGCAATAAGCACGCCCATAACGATTAGTTAGCGATAATACCATTGTTTAACACGTTGCTGCACACGTAACATTGTCCTATGCGTGTATAAATTGTACGATTAACGAGACCGGCAGCGAACCGGGTGCACAATACAAGAACCGACACTAAACGTTTATAATAAACCGTTATTACAACGTTATTACATCGTGACATCGTTAGTTTTTTGTTTCTTTTGTTTCGCAAGCTCAAGAAGTGATTGATCGCTAGAACGACGGCACCATGCACTTACTTTACATCTATCGTGTAGACAGTACTGTAATATGATATTATTTTTTTTGTTTTCTTTTAAGTGTTATCGACATCTAAGGAATTCGGGTACAGTCGGTAATCCGCAATACTTCCGCGAGCGAGTCTTTTTGACTAGACACATCCTGAGACACGTTCGCGTGTTTTTGTTTGATTCAGAGAAATTATTCCACTTCCACGTTATCTATATCGAGATAATTTTCGTTTTCTTTTCTTCTTTTGTTTTCGTTAAGCGTCATTTATTTGTCTGGTTGATTAAGTACTTTCCACAGTGCGTCGCAGAATTGTACAAGCGAAGGTTAAGTCTCGATTCCATCGAACGCGATCTGTACGCGTAGACTCGTCGAGAGGTAATGCAACGATTACCGACGTGGCCACAAAACGCTCGCTCCGAATTATTCTCATTTACGCTGCGTCCCTCTCACGCTGTCCTCTTTTCGCGCCCTCGCTCCCTTTGTCAACCTTGTTTACCACACCTCTCTCTCTCTCTCTGTCACTCGCTTTTATCTCGTTCTCTTACGAAGACCCTTCTGACTTGAACGTCACGCCACTAATCGTCACCGAAGGGAAACACATCGAGATCTCTAGCAAGACGACTAAGCGTGCGTGGTGTGAAAAGTAATTATCATCGGCTCACCGGACTGAAGAGAGAATTCGCTAGCCTACTATAACCACGGTAAGTAAACGACCAGGTAACGATCAAATCGCAGCTGCAAACAATCGAAGCTGTGCACACACGCGTTTTTCCTCTGATCCACCGGGTATAAACACCGGCGTTTTTATCCAAGGGAAAAAAAAGTGACTAGCATTCATTCTACAGCGAAACGACGAGTAGACAAGAGTCGCATGGATCATTCGCGATATTGTTTCTCAAACAGTTCCCTATACGTTTCTACATCTTCGATGATATTTATCCGATTATCTTCGCATTTACTCGTTCCCCTCTCTCTCTCACTCTCTTTCTCCCACTCCTTGTAATTTCGTTCTAAAACTTCGCGGTTCCCCCTGACGGGTCCGCGCGAAAACCGTAACCTAACCTCCTTCCGTCCCATTCGAATCGTCATACAGGCGACACGCTTTCACACACGAACAACGTCGATCCCCGCGCGATCGGCGCGAACGAATATTTCTTTTGCTCCGGGTGAATCCACGTGATTCAGACTCGCTCGTTCTATTTTTTTTTTCTTTTATTTTCTTTTTTTCTTTAAAGCCTATTTAATAATTCTTCGTCTCTGCTGATTAATTATACCTCGCGTGCGAAAATACCAAGTAATATCCTCGCGAAAAGTTAAGCTGGACGGCTTTGATAAAAAATTAGGATCTCTTTCGAAGGACGTGAACATCGGGGAAATAGGAAGTGTTGCGGGGTTTTTGATGGTGGGGGTGATCATGGTGAATGGTATTTATACGGTGTGTTCCTCGAGATGGGGGTGGGGGCGATCCAGCGTACACGCGCGGCCCTGCGAAAAAAGCGTCGATCGCCCCATGCGAAAGTGCCCTCTTGTGCAAACTCTGTACTTTGCTGTCCTATGTGTACGTAATTATTATACGCATGTGAAGAAATTTTTTTCTCTGCATGTACGCGGGGCCTGTCCCTCGCTCAATACCTGTGTGTATAAGTTTGTGGTAGTGTACGTGTCCTGTGTGTGTGTTACGTGTTGTTTACGTTTCTGTCTTTCTCGTTTAGAACTGAACTCACTAAGTGCTTAGCCAAAAAGTGTCTCATTATCACGAGCAGCAATATACGACGTCGGCGCAGAAATACAATTGGGAATACATGTCTCTCTTCCCCCCCCGCCCCCCACTTTTGAAATGGATACACGTTTCTCTCCTTCAATCTATCGCTCATTCGCTCGTCATCCTAGCACGGAATTATGCGTGACTAGCGCTAGAGGTGTGTGTGTCGGGAGCCGTGGCCACGTTAAAATTCCAAGGATAAGGAAATAACGTGGCCCCGGCATGCTACACAGAGACTGCTCGCGATCGCCTCGTAGCAGGACTGCTGTTCGAGGAATCTAATCGCGTTTAGAGCAGCGTCCAGAGAATCGGCCTTCGAGTATTCGCAAGCGTACAGATAGATTCGAGTGTGTTCGTAATTGACTAGCGGTTCGAGAGAGAGTGACACGGTTTCTATTCTTTTCTTTCAACGTTTGTGTGAATTTTTAATTTCCTCTCCTTCTCTCTCTCTCGTTCTATGCACGGTTAGAAAGCTCGAGGCAAGTGTCGATACCGACTGAGATCGCGGAATAACGCGAGCTCGAGCTTAGCCCCCGTGTTCGAAACTTCGCTCTACCTTCGTGCGCTTGCGCGTGATCGTCGATTCGCTCGCGTCATCTCACGGAAGCACTCGAATATTCTCCTCCCTTAGAGTCGCGAGAAAGCGAATATTTTTTTGTTTCTTGTTTTATTGCTAGAACGCTGAATATCGTGAGTATACCTGCTGCTCGGCGACTACTGTTCTCTGCGCCCACTACTTGATTGTAATAAACGATTACGAAAGCGTCGTTGCTCGTTGCTCCTATCTGTAAAACACTCAAAAATCAGACCGTTGCCCGTCATTTTTCTCGAGATCGCTTCTTGTTCGAAAGCGATCGAGACGATCGACGAACGTTCTTGTCCAATCTTCGCGTTATTGCACGATGCGTTTTTATTTTTCCCCTCCCTCTCGAATTCAACGTGTTATAGTTGAGTTAGTGTTGTACACACATGTTGGATGTTGCGAGACTGACTTTTAGGTGGATGTGATCGTTGCGACGCAACCATGATGATGGCTGAGAGAAATCTGTCTGTATTGTGCAAGGAAGACGAACGACAGATGAACACTTGTTCATTGCTCGTTCGACTTTGCTAGACGTACGCGAAGCAGTCTCAGTAGCGTTGCTGGAACTCGTGGTGCCATCTGTTGAAGTCGATGTGGAAAATCACAATCGATCCGTTGGCTAAGCCAGCTAGGAGAAACCTGAAACAGACGGTTAAAGAAGAGTTGTGATCAGAATCACAAGTGTAGAGCACTATCTTTACCGACCGAGAGTATGAGAAATAGGAACGAAACATTTTTTTTTTTAATGCAATTTTTAAAGTGACGTGAAGTTATACTTACTTTTGGTCGTGTGAAAGTGCTAGAGAACGCACACTGCTTTCACAAGCTGGGAATGCGTAAAGAAGAGCTAGATTGAACGTTCTCCAAACTTCTACGATTCGTTTGTCACCACCTGTCATTAAGTACTCGCCGTCTCTGCTGAGAAGTAGACACTGGAAAAAAATAAAATCATTCATGATACAATTATTAATATTTTTCAAAATCGTGAAGATCAGAAATTCGTCAGATATCAATTACTTGAAGATTATCGTTATGAGACTCGTGACGAAGGCGTTTTCCATTTATGGTGAACGCTGCTATGTGTCCTCGTTCATAATTCACCACAATGACACCTTCTCGCGACATTGCGATATTTTCAGGTGAAGAAAATCCATTTGGTGCTTCCAGCGATCTCAGAAGATCACCGAAAGTCGTGTGTACTAGAACTGGACCGTCTGTGAACAGAAATTAATAAGATAAACTCTATTTTATAAATCTTGAACATAACTTCAAGGAAAAATATAAAAGTATAATATATAAAATATATAAGTACAGTAATAGATAATTACGTACAATAAGATCCAGATACGACCAAGCCCAATTCAGCTGAAATAACGACAGCAGTGACCGGTTCTTCATGTCCCGTGAGGGTTGCTCGAGGTGCAGGGGCTTCACCTTCTCCAACGATCGTCTGCGTTCTAGCGTTCCAATGCCACAACAGAACAGTGCAATCAGCACTTCCAGATGCTATGTAGCAATCAGATGTAATATTGCATTCACTGCGTGACAAACATGTGACGACTCCATAATGGCCGAACACTATCTGCACGATTTTTGCTATAAAACGAAAAAGTATCAAATTATTGTTAACCAGATTTTTAACTTCAGAATCTTCTCCATCGTTCTTTTCTTCGACAGAAATATATTTCTACCAAATTTATTACCAGTTTCAGTGGAGAACACACGGAAGCTGTTATCCCAGAAACCACATGCGACCAAGAATCTACTGTCCACCGTTGTGACGAAGCAGTTGCTTCTTATTTTCAGCATCTGACTGAAATTGTCACCCAAGTGACGTCGCAGCGTGGGATTTGAGCTATTTGCCGCTTGTGCTGTAATAAATCATTTCGTTATAATAAATCTTTATACTACAACTTCCATCAGTCACTTTTTTATTATTTTTGATTACACTTACACAGGACAGGATCCATAGATAATGGCTGATTAGCAGCTTGAGCTTGAGGAGTATCTGCGTAACTCGGCGATTGTACAGATGCTACGAATCATCTTACGTTAATAAATTTCATGTACGTTTAACTATAATATAATTTATGTAAAATTGAAATAAATACCCGCATAGTTAGTGTTCCATCTATTGACAGCGAATTGCTGTCCAGTAGTGACTGTAACGACTGATGGTAAAGGTAACTGAGGATACGTGTTAGCTGAGATGTGACAAATTGGCGAGTTCGATGGGAACTTGATGGTCATACACACGTCGTCTGGGATGCTAGAGAACATCATCGGCGACTGCAACACGGGTGGCAACGTCTTGTCAAACTTCGCGGTAGTCTTCATGTTCGGTACGTTTGAACAGAAAGAAAAGCGTGCATTGTACGTTTCTGTAGGTAAAACAGACAGTAACTCGCTGCTGATTGATTTCTATGCAGGTAGGCTAGAGATGTGAAGGATGGATCTTGGTATTCTGTTATTCGTATGAAATGTTTTATTCTTCAATCTTATCATACGTTTGATCTTTTAACAAAATTAAAGTTTCTCGTTAAATTTTTTGTTTGAAAAATATAATTTAGTGCAAAAATGTGTACTTAAATTGGTTTAGACGAATAAAAATTATTTTGAAATTGATGTTTTACGAAGTAATTTTCTTTCAACCATAGACTATAGTTTAACATAGAAGGGTATGCTGTTTAATGAAAATTTCGCACACAACGCATGATAGAATTAACATGATAGGTCTAAACTATCAAACTATGAACTATCTCTCGATACTATGAACAATACGAATCCTTTTATGGATCAGCACTATTGCGCTAAAACTAACAGAATACTCTTACAGGCTCACATCTTCGTTAGAAACCATCAATTCGTTAATCTAGCTCACAGGTGGAAAGTCTCTCCGCCTTTCTCTAAACCAAGTACCTACGATACATTGCACACTCTTCCCGTTACACATATTTCTACTACCTAATATTTCTAATACTAAATATTGATTTCACTATAGAAAGCATGACGTACTATGAAATGAACATCGTTTACCAAATGCATCGCCGAGCTTCTCGGAGGATGCGGCTCCATTAAAAGTTGCGAGGGTGTTTGACCAAAGTTTCGTATTTGGTTCTCTATGGCTTCTCTCATTACCGGATCGGTTATCGTATCTAGATCCACGCTGCCTTCGTATGTTAAATAGTAGAAAACGTTTGTTGCTCTAACAGCTTCTGGACCTAGAAAAATTCCATTTCCTTTTTCATAGCGATGCTCCAACAGAAAAATCATTACACCACTTGGAACTGTTTCACATTTTTAACATGAATTACTCTGCAAAATTTTGTAGCCACAAAAATTATTTCAAATGTTTATTTTCAATATTTAATTAAATTTCAAATAATTTAATTTAATTCGATCACGAAATAAATCACGTCACTGGGTATACTTTCAATAGTTTTCTCGCGTAGGCGATCATCACTGGAGACGTCGATTGCTCCTGGCCGGTATTTCCGGTTGCTACGCTCTCGTGCAACCGACTGTAAATGTGTCGCGTATTAAGGGTGGCACGCATTGTCGCGGCGTGCACACGTGCCTAATTGGTTGGGACAAGAGCCGGGAGGAAGCTAACTAAAAACTAATTCTTTCCATACGCGCGGCGAGCGCCAGCATCTTCGAGGAAGCGCCGGATATAGAGGCGCCACCGGCAATTACCATCGGTGGAAATCTAATTTGACTCGACCACGCGTGTCCCAACACCCGGTCTACTACTAGCGCCATTGTCCAGATGCTGTCGTGTCGATTCGCCCAAGTGCTTTACGCGGAAGAGGTTAATGCTACTTGGGATTCTGTGAAACTTTACTAGATCGAATTATATTCTTTCCTATTTTTTTTTTTTTTTTTAAAATTTTAATTTTTTTTTTTTTTTTTAAAATTTTAATTTTTTTTTTTTTTTTTAAAATTTTAATTTTTTTTTTTTTTTTTAAAATTTTAATTTTTTTTTTTTTTTTTAAAATTTTAATTTTTTTTTTTTTTTTTAAAATTTTAATTTTTTTTTTTTTTTTTAAAATTTTAATTTTTTTTTTTTTTTTTAAAATTTTAATTTTTTTTTTTTTTTTTAAAATTTTAATTTTTTTTTTTTTTTTTAAAATTTTAATTTTTTTTTTTTTTTTTAAAATTTTAATTTTTTTTTTTTTTTTTAATAAGTTAGATGTTCATTAGTTAAACGAGACACCCTGTGTAATCGTACCTTTCTGTTTGTAACCAAATATCAAGTCGGTCCACTGGTGTAATTGACAAGACACGAACTCCGATTCAAGAGCCTAAAAAAAAGAAAAATGTATAGTTCCTTATTTTAATAATTTTTAAGTTACATTTGTTTTGCTTAACCTACCATACGATTAATTCGTATAAACTCTTCCGGGGAAGATGCCCACGGTGGTAATTCAACATCACCAACAACGCTACCATCTTCTTGCCTACCCAACCGATACCGGTTGCTGTTTACCAACATTTCCGGCAGGAAGAAAAATTCCGGAATCAATTCCTGTTAACAAGATAATTCATTTTATCGTGGCTCTTTAGGGTGTACGAACAGTAATAATAAAGATGTATATGCGAGCACATCCGTGTTCTGTAAACATGTAACATATACAGTAAACGCTTGGAAAAGTAAAGAATGAAGCGAACCTTAACGTCTGACGTATCACGTTGGCAATTCTTCCAAGAGAGGGCGATCGAGGAGAACAATCGATTCGGGTGGTCGAATTTGCCGCCTTGGAGCGCCAAAAACATCGTTGTCATAGGCTCCTGAAATACGAAACGAAATTAAGACTATTTTCTCTCGATATTCCTTTCACAAAAATAAACATCTCTGCAACATTGATAAACCATCAAGGATCGCATCCTAACCTCACATTCCAACAGATCGAACAGCGCTTAAGGCGACCGCGAATATTTTCCCACGAGCTCAAACAAAAGAAAAAAAAAAAAGGAAAGAGAAAAATTCTTAAACCATCACACGGGGAAAACACTTGCGCGTTTAAAGTCCCTATCGGTCCTCTGTCAGTCATCCACTCCACTGACAGGCTGATGAATGTTAACAGAGGACCCCCTGTGATCGGCGCGCGCGTCTCGTCGCGCGTAGGCGTCAAAAGATACGGCCATGATTTACAGTGCCCGCGTGTCGGCGAACGGGAGATTTTCGACAAGTTGCGTCTGGAACGCTTACAATGATCCAAGAAACGAGCAATTTGAAGCTGAGCGTTTTTACCGCCGCGAGGTCGAGCCGACCAACCGCGAGCGTGGTGTCGATGGTGCCCGAGTAAAACGGCCCGAAAGAGACAAGAAGTGGTGCAGTTATAAAGCAATAAATTGTTTACGATGCAGTATATCCTTACAAGGGGGGAGAACAGCGGGGCGTCTTGCCAGAGAAACAACGGTAAAATCGCTTACTGACGATTTGCATGTAAATGCGTGGAAATCGTGAGCCGTCTCCCGTTCCACCACCGGCATTCACATGAGATTCGATCGCCGTCCAGCGAATTGGCGCGCGCGCATGCGCAGTACGTGATAGATCGAATTGCTACGACGAATTTCTTTTCCATCCTCTCTCGTCTGTCTGTGTAGGTTACGGCGGGTAATTGCGATAATTGGCGCACGCGCGAGAAATCGAATTGCTGTGACGATGTTTTCTTTATTTCTATCCTTTACCCTGATAATTACGAGAATTAATGCACGCGCATGCGCAGCGCGCTTACGAGAATCAACGTACGCGCATGCGCGGTGCACTTGCAATAAATCGCGAGAAATCGAAGTGCGACGGCGAATAGTTCCTTTACTTCTATTCCCTCTCATCTATCTTTTGTACGTTATATCGGAATATTGCGAGAATTGGCGCACGCGCATGCGCACTGCACTCACGACAATTAGCTCACGCGCATGCGCAGTACACTTTCAAGAAATCGCGATAAATCGAATTGCTACGACGACTCCTTTCTTTACTTCTATCCTCTCGTCTATCCTTTCTAGGTTACGGCGGGTAATTACGAGAATTATCGCGCGCGCGCATGCGCAGTGCACTAGCGATAAGTCGCGTTAAATCGAATCGCGATGGCGAATATAGTTCCTTCGTTTCTATCCTCTCGTTTCGTCTCTCGCGAGTTGGGTGGATAATTACGAGGGAATTAACGTAGTCGTTAAGATAATAAAAACGCGAAGATAGAGAGAGGATGGGTGTATTTTTGCGTGAATTCTTGAAACAGGGGACAAGGGAGAAAAACCGCAGCGGAATACAAATGCACATATTTAACGGGAAGGCGGGCTTCGTTGACTCGAGGGCGTTCCGACGCCCCCAAATTAGTGTGCAGACACTACCGAATGCGTCGCCGAAATTTATGACTCGGACTGGACAGCACTCTGAAATAGACAGTCCGGGGGGAATCGAGGTTTCCTCGGGGTGTTGTTCTACGTTGCTCCAGGGATGTTTGTCGATAAGTTGGAAACACGCCTCGTGGAACTGAGCGCTATTTACTAAATATCGCATTAGAAAGGATACTCAATCGACGTGAACTGTGAACTTCGAGAGGTCTCTTTTTGGACACCTTCTATATGCACGACATACAGCTAAGTCTTGCTTCGAGTAAAAGGTAATTTACAAGGGAGAACAGAGATTTCGATGAACTTACCACACGGATCATCCAGTTCAACACAAACGCGGCGGTGGAATAGTGGGTGCCGTAATGGAACGGCGGTATACTGTCGTGCTCCCAGCTTTGAAAGCGTTCCTCGAAGTAAGCCCTTCTGCTCGGGTTCAACGCTCCGATTGGCTGTTGAAATACACACACACAGAGAGAGAAATATTGAAATAATCGTCGAATGAAAGAACGTACACGTTTAAAATGGTAATAATTCGTACCTTCGATAAGTCACGATAATTGCTGGGCAGACTGAGGTCCAGCTCTTTCGTCTCGTAGTTGGTCAACACCCAAGGGAACACGGGGTACTGGTTCAAATCGTTGTAAGTTCGACCTAGAGGGTAATTTGCATTGAAATTTTTCTCGTGAAAAGTTACTTCGTATTTCCTGCCTCTGCTCGCTCTTTATTCTACGATTGAAATTGCTAACCGGTGAGCTTTTCGTGTTAGGTAAAAATTGGTAACGCTGAATCTGCAGTAGGGACTTTATTCCCGTAGAATAAGTTGGACATTGTCCTTTTTAATTCATTATGTTGTTGCAGATATACGTGTTAACTGGTGAGCTTATTATTATTATTATTGTTGCTTTATGCCTATAATAGAAAAAATTATGCACTTTTACTAGATTTTAGTAAAATTGAACAATATAAATAATTTAGTCTAAATTATTTCCGTTGTCACTATCATCGTTGCTTTATACCTACAATAAATTTTCTAATAACGACACAAATTCGTACAAGTACGAATTCCATTAACCCCTTCACCTATAACAACGAGTCAGGCTCGTGGCAGAGATTCGTGTCAAGATGAGACAAAAATACTTATATTAGTAAGAAGAATTAATTCTAATCCTAACTTTCCTTTGAATTAGTAATTAATTTGTAACAGACTAACTTTTGTTACTTGCTACAATACTGAAACAGTAAACGGCTGACGCTTAGATACGTAGTCAGAAAAGAAATCATAGGTTAAGGGGTTAAAAAAATTCCGAAGAACAAAATAAAAAAAAAAAAAAAACAATCGTATCTATTAACAAGAAAGAAGGAACTGCAGCTGACAAACGCACGCCACAGAGACGTAATGCTATAAGCCGACATTTCGCTCGACCTCGTCGGCCCCCTAAGAAAACCCATAAACCGTACGAAAAACAAGGAAACAGCTTAATAAGCTTGCCGTTAATGACTTAAATACCGTTACCCGTTTAACGATGCACCCGCGCATCATCGAGAGAGCCACAGCCGAAGCGAAGTCGCGTGTGGTTCGGCTATAAGCCGAAATTCCTGGTCTAAACGGGGCCAAAAATAAACGAGCCGTAGCTACGCGCCCGGTGAGCCTTCCTTTTAACGCGTATAATCACCGGCCTAATTTTTTTGTCGCGCCCGACCGCGGTCACTCCTCTTCCTCGCGCCCTAGAACCGACGATAAAAGGAGAGAGAGACGGAGAGCGCTGTCTTACTAGGCTCGGTTCCCTCTAATTCTATTTTTACAGAAATGCACACACACACACACACATTCGTGACATGGACTACTCGCGAGAGGAGGGAAGAGGAGGTTCTCCGTTTAGTAAGCGCGTAACTCAGACCGTGACGGCTAATCGTTCCTGAAATTGTCACTTCTGGAGGTCTCACTCTTCCGCCCCCGCACTCGGAATCCCATCCCGAGATGCATTAGCGACGGCAGCATGGCTGCAAGCCTGACTTCGTCTAATCTCCCTCCCTGCCGCTAATTAAAATCCGTCAGCAAGTTTGTCAGACGACGTGCCCTCTATAACGTGCTCCTCTCTCGCCCAATTCGCCGCGGATCGTTTACGTGGGCATTTCATTCGTGGTATGTAGTTCGTTCTACTTCGTCTAGTGATTCGTTGACAGTTAGTTGAGTAGAGAGTGTGTTTTTTTTTTGTCGAGGAAAGAGTTGTTCTTTTTTTGCAGGATTTTTTGGCGGATGCTGGGTCAAATGTGACCCGAGGGAGTAGGATTCCGTGTAAGGCGAGCGAAAAAGTTGATACTGTTTCCGTGTAACGTGATTGAAAGTGCGAAAGGAGATACGAATTGTGAATTTGGAAATTTTGGGATAATTAAATTTGGCCCAAAACGCAATGTCGGTGGAAGTTAATTTTTAGTATATTTCCGGAGTTATAGAGGGTTCTACTGTGCTAAAATCTTCGGCACGCAAGTGGAATTAGGGTTTTTTATTTTAGTAGGCATCGTGTAGTTGGAGAAATTTCAGGTTTACTCCCGAGTCGATTTATTCCCGAGTAGGGTAATTTTCCAGCGGCCATGTTGATTCAGCATACCTTAATCCCGCGCCCATAGGGGCCGTGTCCGCGAAGCTTTCGTGGTACGATTGAAATAAAAAATATATTAATAATATAAGGAGAGGAGAGTCAGGAGAAATCTGAATGCTGGGTCAGCGGTGACCCGCTATGTAAGTCCGATTGGGACTCCAGAGTCCCATACCAGAAATCCATGATTTTTACATTTTCATGCATTTCAAGCAAGTAGTTTTAAATAGACTATTCTAATCCTGAAAAAAATTTCACGACAAATTTAAGACACCTCTCAGACTTAGAGGGTTAATAAAAATTCGTTAGAATATATGGGACTCTGGAGTTCCACTCTGACTTAAAGAGTTAATGAATTAAAAACTATTATGATAATGGTAACAAAAGACTGAAATTGACTTCAACTGATTACTGTAACAAAGCTTATTAAGGGGGTCTTCTAGTGTGACGGTTTCAAAAAATCGATTTTTATTTTTTTGCATCTATCGAAAGTACAACTCTTTAAGAATGTACTCCTGAAGTTTTATAGTTGTATTCAATAAAATAACGAAGTTATAGTTCGTTTAGTATGACACATCAAGGGAGAATCTAAATTGCACTGAGAACTTTAAACGCGTTTTTCTCGGAACCACGTTTTCTGAAATGGGTGCAAAAACTACTGAACCAATGGAACTCAAATTTTGCACATGTCTTCAGAACATGTGTGGCTATGGTCGGTAGTAGAATTATGCCATATTTTCTGAAATGGTTGCAAAAACTACTGAACCAATGGAACTCAAATTTTGCACATGTCTTGAGAACATGTGTGGCTATGGTCGGTAGTAGAATTATGCCAAAATATACATTTTTCTGATTTTTAGAGCCTCTGAAAGACTCATTTGTATTCAACGTGCCGCCATTTTTTTAATTTTCAATATTTTTCTTTTATTCTACTACCGACCATAGCGACATGCATACTAAATAAGAATCAATTGGATTTCTTTATTTCTGATAAGCAGAACAGCTCAAATCACGGTAACCATGGACCTACTTCATTTTTCATGCTCCTGTTTGACGTGTTCCACAGCAGCCATAGTTAATTATTTTTCAACAAAAAAATTTGTAACGATTCTTCAAGGACAAGTAAATACATAGGAATAAAGCTCGTGTTAATAACTGTTACCGTACTTCTGTAATAAATTAGCAAAAAAGGCCTAAAAAACCGGCCGTCACACTAGAAGACCCCGTTAATAGAAACAGCAAGAAAATATTAAATCATCCCGTAAGTTCGTGTCGAAAGCGAAAGTTATTCACTAAAAATCTAAGGAAATTCCAAAAGCAAATAGGAAAAAGTTACATTTTTTTTTTATCAAATTTAAAGATTCGTTAAAAATATCGATCTAAATTATCAAAATTCGGCACGAAGTTACGGGGAGAGACGCAGACTCCCAATCGGGAATCCATTCACTCCCCGCATCAAACACCGACAATTTCCTTAACCATCTCCACAAGGACGTCAACGAGAATAATCACGAAGCCTCGACAAACTCCTCCGATTCGTCCCCGAGAGCTGCGTAAAGAAAGAGAAAGAGAGAGAAGCACGAAGCCACTCAATTCGAGAGCGAACAAGAACAGCAAGAAGAAGGAGAAACGAAAGGGGGAAACGAAGGAAGGAAGGACTCACGGCGCGGCACACAAGGCCCGCGCTACAATGCGTCGTAAATCGTGACGCTGCACGAGCGTCGGTCGGACGTAAATAATAGTAAGGCCGCGTTATGCATCAAAGTGATTATTAATGGTAGCGTCGTGATGAGTGAGCGCTCTCTGAACGTTTCCCGACACCGGAATGCCCGCGACACGCGTGCCCATTCCCCGCGTCTGCCACTCTACTCCTTTACTTTTCACCCTAACTCCACCCCCGTGCCTCGCGGAACAACGTTATAATAAGTGCTAGGCAGCGAAGAGAGGCTCGTTTTTAACTCGCCACTCCTCGAGATTTACAGGGAGACGCGAGGCCCCGCCTGGAGAAAAATTGGCAGGAAACGACGGCGAAATGGTTTAACAGCCCCGCGACTGACAACGAGCGACTTTCTTTGATCGGTCGTTTCATTTGGTAAAGTGGATATTTATTTCGGTGGCGTCTGTGCGATATGGGCCAACCATGTGACTTTACGAAGACCCCAGCATACCTCCGTTACAGAACTCTCGACTGTCGTAGCGATGCTGTTTCGTTTCGTAATTAACCGCGCCAGTTGTCAGATTAAATATGAAATTTGATTGAAATCAATCAAGCGTGCAATACGTTGCAGAAAGTTTCTCAAGTGGTTCGATTAAATTGCAAATACCTCCAAAATAGGGTCTCG